ATGGTTCATTTATGAACATTATCATATAACCTCTTTCATGATTTATCTACTTACTTATTAATATTATTATTTGGTTCTAAAGACATGTTCAGGGAAAACTTTGGCATACTTGTTACAGATTTTTTCAGTAATAAACACACAAAGATCAGCTCTACAAGCATTGATTGTGGTTCCAACTAGGGAATTGGGCATCTTTTTCCTCCTTCCGAGTCATCTTTTTCCTATTTTTCCCCTTATGTTGCTTTGGTGAGATTCAATATTTATGGTGCTGATACATTCATTTCTGACATAGATTTCTCACTTTTAATTTAGCGAATGAACATTTCCCATTTTAATTCTTACAAGACCTTTGTTGTTGTGATTGCAGGTGTTGATGGTGTTGTCAAAACACAATGACTTTCCTTTGGTTCCATTATTTAGTGATCACCTGGAAATACAGGTTGTTGCAACGAGTTGTATTGAAGGACTAAACAATCAGTCTTTCGAGAAGACTGAGGACGATATCAATATTAACCTGGGATTGTGAGGAAAAGGCAAGGTAAATCCAAACATGTGAAATTTTGATAAATCTTGTCATTTAAAAGTAAGGGTATTATTGTCCATTTAATGTTTTGCATCTAAATATGTTATGTTTATTTTAAAGGCGATGGTTGTAAGCATTGATCCGTGTAGACAATATTTGACAAGTGAAGATGAGGTTGGATTCAAGGCTATTAAACTAGAAAACCTGGGTGAGTAAGAGTAGAATTATCAATTATGTATTTTATGTTATACGATAAATTTGAATAACTTATAATTTTTTTGTTTTGTTAGGCCCAAATGAGGAAGAGTATGCCTTGTATCAGTGCACTGTAAGTGTTGTAAATAGCAACGTATTTTTCAGTTTGACCAAATTTTTTATTTTGTTGTATAGATGATGTTTATTGTAATATTTATTTTTGGAAAATGATGTTTTTGTAATGTGTTAAGCACTTAGTAATGTATTTGACATTTTGTAGTTTAATGTAATGAATTTTTATTTCATTTTGACCAAATTAATTGTTTTTTTATTTAAAAAAAATTATTGTTTTTTTTTTAATAAAAAGCAATTAGCTACGGATTACCTACAGAAAATCCGTAGCTATTTACTTCCGTAGCTATTCCGTAGCTATCCACTTCCGTAGCTATTCTGTAGCTATTAAATTCCGTAACTATTTTGTAGGAAATCCGTAGCTATTTATTTCCGTAGCTATAATTTTCCCACGGGCCATTATGCTACAGACATTTTTCCGTAGCAATTCCGTAGCTCTCCGCTTATAGCTACGGATTGTGCTGAAGCTATTGCACTAGTTTTCTAGTAGTGATATATATATATATATATATATATATATATATATTATATATATAATATATATATATATATATATATATATATATATATATATACTAGCCGTTTACCCGCGCCAGGCGCCGGGTGCGAATAGTTTGTTGCGGCAATAATTTCCATTCGAAAACATGTTATATTTCAAGTAACGTAAATTAGTTTTCAAGGAACACAAGTTACTGTTTTTGGTTTTAAATTTTAGGTATGTTGCTTGAATGGTTCAAAAGTGAAAGTACGTAGTTATGTTTGTTGAAATAAAGAAAACTTTGAGTTAAAAATAAAAGTAAATTGTTTGAGTTTAAAACAAAATAATGTTGTTTGGGATTATATTTTATTAATTGTATTTTTAAAGAGCACGTAATGAATCGACAAATATCATTTATCATTGAAATATATCAATTATATAAGTTGTCCTTTTGGGTTAAAAATAAAATACATTGTTGTTTTTAAAATCAAAATTACATTATCGTTTTGAGAGAAAATTAAAAGTAAATTGTTTTGGTTTAAAAATAAAATAAGGTTTTATTTTGGTTAAAAATATGAATACATGTGATTTGGTTTAAAATATTGATGTGCACTTGTTTCGGCTGAATACATGTGATTTGGTTTAAAATAAATCTACATCGTTGTTTTCATTTAAAATTAATAGATGTATATTGCTATTTTGGATTAAAAATAAAGGTACATTGACATTTATTATATAAATTGCTCATGAATCTTTGGAAACAATCTCAAAGCACAAGTAATCTTACATTAAAACTAAAAACATTTAAATTGAACCAAAAAATGTTAACCAAAGAACCAAACTTTTTATTAAATTACTATTAGAAATTAAGTGTTGTTTTATCACATAGTTGTTGCACCTTATCTGAATCTAAATCAATTAAACCGTCTATAACACCCCTCTCAAAGCATCCCCTCTCAAATCATCTGCAGCTTCCTGAAAGTTTATAAATTTTATTTTTCTTAGCATATAAAATTAATAAAACTCTCAAAAAACATAATACCAGTAAACCTTGACTGATAGTATTGTTAACTTACTTTGACCATTACACCCTCCATATCATAATAATAGCATATGTAAACAACCAACACAGATCTCAAAAAAATTGCAAAAAAAAAAAGAAGCAAACTTCCACCAAGTCAATTGTGCATACCTGGTCATAGGAAAAAGAACACAACTCTAATTTGTTTTCCTACCAATAAAGAATCAATTTTTAGCAATTTTACAGTTCAATCCAAAACCAAATTAGAGTTGATAATACAAAAAACTAAAATTAACCTAATAACTAAAAACCACAAAAAAACTTACAAAAATAACCTTCGATGGCCTTAACCATGTTGCAGAATCCATGTCAAACCTATTAGAAAAGGTCATATACGAAAATAAATCTCATAAATTCTACTAAATGGAAATATTTACACATGCAATTATCTTTAATCATAATATAACATAGATTATAAACTTTAATAAACAATGTTAATAGCGTATTAGCAATTTAGTTAATTTACCTAATCAGACCGTTCTAAAGCATTAAAAGGAAAATATAGTTGATTTTGATAAATCAAAAACTTGAAGTAGAATATACAAACAATTTTACACACAACCATATCTTTCTTTACAGATTTTGCTTATTAAACAGAATCTTATATTTCATACCCACTACTTAAGACAAAACGTAAAAAGAAGTTAAAATTACTTGTTGTCGTCCCAAAATCCAAATTAATAAAGAAGTCATCACGTAATCCAAACAACTGAAGCAGTCTAGCGGAATAAGTTTGAAGAAAATGAACAATATTGAACATAAAAAAATTACAATGCACACCAAAAATATTGAACATAACAAAATTACTCCAATAATTAAATCATACCAAAATTATGCAAAATCTTATCATTAATATTTAAAAATCATACCCAAATTAATCTTATTATAAGCATATTTTCAGTTACATAAAATCATAATAAAAAATTAATAATTAACAACCAGAATTATGGAACTTGCCGTAAAAACAATAATTTTTTTTTCAAATATATATTTATATTAAAGTACTAATTAATAAATTCAAAAAAGACAGATTTTAACTTGCTATTATTTTATGTATTTCACATAACAAACGAAAAGGCGGCAAAGAAATTTCCAAAATTACCCTTGGAGATTTCATTTTTATAATCAAATGCCTAAAAAGAAAAGAAAATATCTAAAATTGTAACACCCAAAAATTCAAGCCAATTTAAAACTTTTTAAACAACCCAAAAACCATTAGTTATTACAAACTTGTTTTCAAAATGTAAAATATCAGAGTATCCCAGAAACATAGTCATAAAAAGTGAGGAGCTGTACGATCACGCCTTTGCCCTGCCACGATCCCCTGATGCACCTGAAACAATAAACTGAAACTGTAAGCCCGAAAGCTTAGTGAGTTACCCCCAAAATACCGATACACATACAGTCCACATAACCATGTCAGCAATAACATATCATAACGAACTGAACAGAACAGCACATAACGGGTCTACAGCCCTACAGACTGAAATACCCACGAGCCCACAGTACGAGTCTCCCTTAGCCCGTAACTGGAATGCTACCGAGCCCACAGTACGAGTCTCCCTTAGCCCGTAACTGGAATGCTCCCGAGCCCACAATACGAGTCTTCCTTAGCCCGTAACTGGATTGTTCCCGAGCCCACAGTACGAGTCTCCCTTAGCCCGTAACTGGATTGCTCCTAGGGTTTATTGGCTACCGCACGAAGCAGTACAACCTCAACCCATCCCATATAACAAACACATATCATAACCACTGAGCATGCAATAATCACATAACTTCACAGGTAGTCCTACAGGTCTGCCTAACTGGCATAACCACTATCATGCAAAACTAACTCATACTCAACATCTAACACTGCTAGGATAACATATCCAATGGGCCGGCCTTGGTGCCTTAGACCCCTTAGTATAGTGAGGATAACTCACCTGGCACTGCTGAAGTCCCGCAGATACAACTCCAGCTGCTGGTTAACAGATTCCCGAACTGTCAACATCAAACAATACCCAATTAATAATTGGGTTCCAAGCCCAAGGTCCAATTCATACTATAAAAGCCCAAAAGCCAAGTAATGGGCCAAAGCCCAACATATGGCCCAACTTTCCAAATTGGGCCCAGACCTCTACATGGCCTTTCCTTAAGGCCCATCCAATTATTCTAATCCAATCCCTATGGCCCAATATTACATAATCATAAAGGCCCAACACAAAGTCCAAGTGAAATTAGGGTTTCACATAAAATGACAATTAGGGTTAAGTGTTTCTCACTTAACCCATTAAGGACTTAATCCATTAAGGACTTAATCCATTAAGTCCATTCTTGCCTTAAGTTAGTTTGCCAATGAATATTATTTAATATTTCAAGTTATTAAATAATCTCGTGTGTGTGCCGATTAATTCTCAAGAATTAGAGTTTTATGCTATTAGGGTTTTCCAAACCCTAATTAGGGTTTCCTACCCAATATTAGCTCATTAGTCAATTGGTTGAGCATCTAGGTCACTTTGGGCCTTATTGAGCCCAATAGGGTTTTATTAGGTCCATTGGGGTCTCTTTGGGCCCACTAGGGTTTCTTTTGGACCATTAGGGTTTAGTAGTCCCTTGTCCAAACATCCAAACGAGTCACAAACCAACAAGGCACACCGCCACCCGACACGGCGGCCGGTGGCGGCAGCCACCACCTCACGGTGGTGGTTATAGATTTTCTTTTGATTATTCCCACACTATTACAACTTTACAGCAATACTCAACACACACACAAAATACACTCACACTAATTACACACATACATACTAATAATACACACACTAAGCAACATACACACCCTCCATGGCGGTCTTGAGGCGGCAGCCACCATGGCCGACGGCCATGGTGGTTTTCCCTTGACTTTTCTCCGGCAACAACAACCCGAGACATCCAAGCTTGCGAGACACGCTGAAACAAACACCCACTACACGCACACACGCCCCTATTTCCCGGAAAGTAAACCCAACACCCACTGAGGTGGGTGGCGAAGGCGGGAGTAGCACAAGAAGAACGGCGACGGCAGCGGCTTATTGGCGGCGGATGGCGTTGAACGAAACAGCGGGCAGCAGCATCAGTTAACGGCGGCCATGGCCAGCCCCTCCTCACACTCGTCGTTCCACCGTCGCTCTTCCTCTTCCGCCGCAACAGAACAGCGACGACAGATGGCAGCGGAGACTGGGACATTTCCCTCAACGTCTCCTTGTCGGCAGTCTTCAACGGTAAGAAAGTGGCGGCGGTCTTCAGCTTCGATGTAGGCGACGTAGCAGCGGAGACGGTGGTTGCCGGGCTCGATGATGCAAACTACAACTGCGGAGGGTTCATATGGCGGCCGGAAGTTGGGAGGTGACGGCTGCTAGAAGGGGGGAGGCATAAGGGTGGCGGCTGGTGTTTGTATTAGGGTTAGGGCATGGAAGGGTCATATATCCCGTAGCCTTTGAAACTTCACCCCATAATGGCAATTCTAGTCCCTCTCTTCCCTTTTCTTTCAAAACAAAACCCTAATTTACCCTTCAAACCCTTGTTTCCAATAATATTTTTCATTACAAGTCCAACATCTACAAAACAACCCCTTCCTCTATAAATTATTCTCAATTAAGATCCGTAAATTACCATTTAACCCCTCCTTCTGAAAATCCTTACAATCCAAGTCCAAAATGTTACCAATTAGCCCTTGACTTATGAAAATCTTTACAAATTAAGTCCCACA